GAAAAATGAAATGTCCTGAGCTTGGTCGGCTTGTTTATGCGAGTTTATGCGGATTTTTAGCGTGCAGAAGCTCGTGTATACAAGTCTCCCGCGGACATTGAGTTCGACGGCGCGAGAATGAGAAAATTATGGCGCTAGTGTCAGTGAAAAAAAGTTTTGAAATACAAATGTGTGAGCGAATGGAATGAAAGTATAAATCTTCATGCCTTTTTTTTGTGCTTCAATTTTGAGGAACAGGTTTTTCTGCATTTGCTCGTGACGGTTTTGATAACATTGCAGAGTTTGATAAAATAGAATACAATCCGGAGTGCGATTGTATGAGAATGAGCAGATGGCACCAGCATCAGTGAAAAAAAGTTTTGAAATGAAAAGCCGTGGGGGGTGAAACGAATGGACGAATCTCCATGCTTTCTTTGTTTTAATTTCTAGCAAAGATTTTTCTTCATTTGATTGTGAAGGGTTTGATGACATTGCAGATTTTGATACTAGAATTCAATCCGAAGCATGTTCTATTTTCGCCGAACCTTGTTCGAAGTACTGTACAGTACAGTAATTTATTTTTCATCGGCGGATCATCGCCACTCGCTTTTTCTCGAGTTGAAGAGAAGTTAGTAGTATTTGTCATTTTTCGTGTCTCTGCTATTCTTCAGTTATTTGTGATATCTTCCTATCGAAAGTCTTTTTCCTTCTGGATCATATACTGGAATACATTTCTTATAAATTTATCTTTATTCGAAGTGGCTGCGGAGTCACCGGGAAGTGTACAATAAAAGAACCTCAATCGTCTCGGTGGATTGGATTATGTCAGACAATAACTCCAGATTGTTTTTCGATTTTGATGACCTGAATTAATGCAATTATTTTTTTATGAATGTGCCAAAATTTCGTGAAATGCCCTCTTTCTGGTTAAAGTGTCTAGTGTTTGTTGAACCGCGAAAGATGTTTTTATTTTATTTTTTATAGTGCTTGTGGTTGTTTTCGATTTGAAATGCTTTATTTATTCCTAACTCCGTGGTATCCTGAACTCTGAATAAAGTCCATTCGATTGAACTATAGTCTTGCCTGAGATAAAGTCTTTTTTGCGAACATTCAATTTAAGTTGACTGCATGTTTTCATTATTGTACGCGCATCAAAGTAGATTTGGTGAATTTGAATTAAACTTCGCGTGAAAAAAAGTTTAGAGTTACACTGCTTCTGATTAATAAAATATTTTATAAGTTCTTGGAGAATTTTTAGATTTTGTTCCATTGACAATATTTTTTTCAATTGAAGCCCGTGTTAAATCCGGTTAGGTCAGGCCTGGTCAATTCACTGCACTCCTTGAATTCGTGAAACCAATTGTGTGACGATGTTCTCGCCGATTTTGTGTGTGTGTGTGTGTGTTATTATGCAATATATTATTGTTTAAGTTTTTGTGGAAATGTGGTGATCTCCTTTTCGAAGTTTCCTTTTGAAGCGCGTTGACGGTTTTCCATTAATTAATGTAATACACGACCATGTAAAATGGTTTATAATTCACCTGAACTCATCGACGTTTGTCAAGGTTGCTAGAATACATCGGCAGCACATTTTGAAGAAACCGAGGCCTAGCGAAAGTCCTTTTTTTGTAGAGGAATTGCATTACTCGATTTAACGATCATTAATCTCTTTTCATCGTGATCACTTTTTTTCTCCCGAGAAGAATGTTCTGGAGTATTTGTAGTAGCCTTTTTTGACACAAAAAAGAATCCTACAGCAGGTTATTGCCAGCATGGCGGACAGAAGCAAAAGTCGGTTACGGTCCGTACGAAGGGCGACATCTGTTGCTACAAAAAATATCGACCGGTATCTAGCCCTACGCGCTGCCGAGTCCAGCATAGGGTTTCCCGTAGGACGAGCTGTTCGGGCAACCGCGTGAGTATTTGAGAGAGGGAGAGAGAAAAAAAAAAAGATTCCGCTTTTTCTATATACATTTTCGATACTTTTCCGCGAAATAAATTGTCCGATCGCGTGACTTGCCTTGCCTTTCCTTTCCTTGGCATCACTCTTTTTACAACTGGTTCTGGGAATATAAGTTTCTTGGACCGATTATTGCCATGAGCTGCATCCGCGGTTCGGGCTTTTTTTTTTTTTTCAACCAGGGAACATTTCCAGAATGCGTTTGTGTGGGCGTGTCGAACCTTGATGTGGTTCTTTTGTTTAAATAGTAATGGAATGGTTACGTGTATATTTGATATTTGGGTAATTCCGAGTTTTTCTGTGTAAATCCGAATACCTTATTCGAAACGTTTGGCTTGTTGAGGGGCTGGGAAATTTTGAGCGCTTAGCAAAGCAGAGACTCGTAAAAATGTCGCCTCGACGTAATAAGGGGCTGTTTTTATGATGTTTTTACTTGTCGTTAGTAGTTTTATTTTTCTTAGAAAATATAACTTGAATGCCAATTCGAAAATTTTCTGTTACATGTGTACGCATCGTAGGAAAATTATTGACGTGATTTTCCTCAGACCAAGTTACAGTGCAGAAAACCGTTTCAATTGGCCCGAATTTCTGTTGAACAAGAAAGATCGAGAATTGCAGTGACTGAATGTGGGTCATATTTTATCTTCAGTTCATTATTCCTAATCCTCACAAATAATTGCAGTGCATATACTCGACATGACGCAGACTTTTTTCGGTCCCTCTGTATTTCGATTTGTTTCTTTTCACATTTCTCTACTATTTTAGCGAAGTTTAATCCAGTATTTCATGAATTGATCAATGCCATTAACTTCTAAGAACTTGAAATGAGTCGACGAGGAATTGCGGAGACAATTTTCGGAGGAGCTAGATGAAATAACTAGCGTCTTGAGTTTTGTGATCCTCTGTGGAAAATTCAGGATTGTACCGAATATTTTTTCTTTCAAGTTTGGTTGAAATGTGATTCAATGGTTGAAGTCTAATCCATTTGAGTATCCTTACATGCCTTAATATTCGTGCTTCAAGCACTAGCTTGATCAATATACTTCCTAGTGTATGCAGTACAGGTACAGTAATTGTTTGAATTCTTATAATGTATTCACGAAAGATTCCAAATTTTAATTAGGCCAGACTGAAATTGGAGTTGCATAAATAACGAATTTATACTTGGTGGAATGAGAAACACGTTTTAAACCAATTTTTCAATAGCTTGGAACAAAAACAATATAAATATTGGAACAATGAAACTTCGAGGTCAAATCACATATATTACTAACGGAATGCTCATCGTGTGTTGAGAAAGGAATAAACTGAAAAACTCGAAATGGCATAAGAGTATCAAGGAAAATTAACTTCGGTTCAATTACAACATTAGACCAGGGGCTAACGAATTTTCAAATTTTCGCATTTTAATTTTTAAGATTACGATACCTTTGGAAACTTACATTAAATCTCGGGCGTGACAAGCCTAACATATAATCGTATTATAGCAGGGGTTCCTTTCATTCTCTGGTGCTTTTAACTTTTTACTTCTGCTTTCAAAATGCTAATATACAGTACAGTACTTTAGTTTTAAGCAGGCATCATTTGGCGACGTACTCATATTCTAGCCTCATCTCGGGCTTTCCAATATCGTGCTTTTCAGTTGGATGAAAAGATCCTCAACCATTAAAGTTTAAACTATCGTCAAATCTAGCACCTTATCAATTTTTAAATGTTTTTTTTTTAAACCTAAAACCCTAAAGCCGCGTGTGAAAATGAACAGTAAATTGATCTTGTTTTTTGGCTTGATTTCCATGTGGAACCTCATAAATGCCAGACAGTCCCATCATCCAACGAGTGTGGATTGCTTTGCAACATTTGAGCTTCTCAAATGTCATTCAATTCCCGTTAAGCAAATGGGTTTTTTCATGGAACTATTTTTATTCTTCGTTACCATTTATCATTACTTCTTTTTACATGAAAAAGGGCTTAAAAAAATGTACAATTCCAGGTTTAGTAAGGATTGTCGGCATTGAAGCGCATGCAAAAATGTTTGAATTTTCGCTGCATATAAATGGTGCTTCGGACTGTTTTTTTCAGTCGATTAACACATCAGACCTGTAAACACATCAACCTCTCTCGTTTAATGGTGTGTAACGATAATTTTGTCCCGATACGATCAGTATTGCCTTCAATTTGGCGCTCATTTGACCCAACCTCCGTATCGAAATGCAAAAACCCCGTTCTTTCCTCAGAGAACTAAGAAAGTCGCAGGATGCAATAGTTCGGTTCGCCTCGTTGGGGTTCCGGGTAGTACCCATTGGGTACGAGTTCACGGTACTCACACCCCTGGAGAAAAACATGAAGCGCTTGGCCAGCATGTTGGCCACGAAACCCGCACCTGGACAAGCGTATGTTTACTACAAAACCCTGACCATGACATCAGCCGTGGCCCAGGATGACAGGGAATTGCTGGTGAAGCGAACAATGACCATAGAAATCATGTTTGTGTCGGAAACGAACGTCATCAAGCTCGACAACGCGGACTTGAGCATTCAAAGGGAAAAAATCCGCTTGACGATCCCGAATGCCAAGCCTGTAATCGATTCCATCCAAGTGAGAGTTTTATTTTTATTTTATTTTTTTAATAAATGGGTTTATATGAATCATTACTTCGATCAGTGAAGTTGCTTTTTTTTATGACCCGCCGTTGTGACGTTCCCGATCGAAATCGCTTTCGATCATTTCACGACTTCCCTTTTTGGGTTTGATTTTGTTCTTCGGGATTTATGTGTGGGCTGTAAAGTTCCTCGAACGACTTCGTGACTCGAGTCGACGGTCATCTGCTGGAAAACGGATTGGCAGCAAAATTCAGAGCCAATCTTGAGAATTGACGCATCTTGTTTCATTTTCGCGGCGCTTCTTGATATATTTATGAGATCATTACGAACTCATTTGTGCTAAAATTATTTCTATCTACGCGAGAATTGACAACTTATTTTACATATTCTTTTGAAGGCCGGCCGTTTGCAATTTTTCAGCGTCGTAAACTTCATCTAAATATTATAATTAAATTTATTTTAAAGACTTGCGGTCATTTTTATGAGGTTGTGGCCTTGGCTCACAGTTCAAGCAGGATTGCAATTAAATTATGATTGAATAGTTTTTGTGAAAAAGCACTCTTCTGGGAGCTCAATGACATATTATTCATTTATATTTTTAATCACTCGAGTGCCACTTTCGTGCAGGTCATTCCGTGGTTTTCGCGCTTGAAATAAATTTACCGAAACGAACGAAATTATCCGACGTGGACCAAAAGATAATAGATAAAATAAACGTTCTCGGAATGTTAGAACCCGGGGAAAAATAACCCGCCGATCATTTTTCTTTATCGGGGCTCACCCGGCGTAGCAATGATTTAAAATTGCATGTCGGAAAACGTTGGAAATCTGAGCCTTTGCGCGATGTTTATTTTCTTTCCTTCGCAGCTCTTATTTGCATTTTCCAATATTTTGACTGAATTGCTCATTACGTATTATCTGATTTTCATGCAGGTCTCTGCCACCAAAATACTGATCACTCTGGTGGAATCCCCTCCGGTGGGTACTATTGCATTGCTCACGATTCCGTTCAGCGCGGGTCCGATTTCCTTCGACTTGGATTCGCAAGGGAAATTTTATTTCCTCAACACCATCGTGCTTCCCAGGAAAGAGTGCGTTTTTGTTGGCATTAAATAAAAAACAACAACAAAAAAACACCGCCTTCCTTCTTTATGAAGTTTTTCTCTTCTTTTTCTCTCGGTCAATTTTTATTTCTTTTCAGCAAGGTTCCTTCCGACAAGTTCTTGCCGGGATCGAAACTTCCGTTCCCGTGCTTTGATGATCCACGTCTCAGGGCCCCGCTTTTCGTCACAGTCGGACGCCCACATGGTTCCATTTCCATCTCCAACGCGCCTTTGGTCGCCACCACGAAGATGCTGTGAGAAACGTTTTTACACGAAGAAAAAACTCTCTTTCCGGCTTAATTACACAGTCCCTGAACTCCTTTAAAAACAAACAAAAAAAGGAACCAGGCGGACAGGAATCACTGGTCCTGGGACACCTTCTCGCTCACGTCGCCGATGAATGTGGAGGAGCTGACTTTCCTCGTGTCCAACAACATGAAAGTCTTCACGCCCATGATTCAAGGCACGTCGACTCGTCTGTTGACGGAAAAGAGCAAAGATGCGGCTTATTACGAAGAGATGATCATGCCGTATGTGTCGGAAGTGGGTCGGCAAATGGAGCTCATTGTGAAAATCAGTTATGCTCCGATGCCAACCGCTCTTGTCGTCGCGACGGCTCCGGAATTGGCAGCGATGATTCCTGAATACGGAGTTGCGAAACTGGGGGTCATTTACGCGTGAGTTGTGTGCCAAGTTTTGTGCAAAAATGTTTTTTTTCTTCTTTTCTTGCTAATTATAAGGTCTGTTGTCCAATGATGGCGGAAGCGTCGTCATGAAATGCGGCTAAAGTTCAGTCGAACCTCTTTGAATCGAATTAAAAGGGACCAGCAAAAAATTCGAGTTATTAGGGAGGTTTTTAACTAGGGAAACATGCATTTTTCACTTGAAAGAATTATATTGCTTCTTAAATGCGTTGAAAGGATGATCCCGAACTTGGAGGCAAGGGTTCATTTGCCCAATTAGTCTTTAATTTCCTTTTTAAAACGCAAGTCGCATTTTTCATTTCTTTCTTCTTTCCTGCTGTGTCAATAAAATAATAGCCAAAAGGCTTCAGAAAATTCTAGTTATGGAGGCTTTAGTGTAAAAGCTATTGAGTTAAAAAGGTTTTTAAAGTATTAGTTCTATAGGACATTCAGACAGGAGCTTGAAAAGTTTGACTTATTACAGAGGTATTTGACTTGAAGAGTTTTGAGTAATCGAGGTTGAACCGTATTATTCTTGCGCATGAAAAATTATAAAAAAAATATTAAACTAGGTCGTGCTTTAGTATGGCTGAGAATATCGTTCTCTTGTCCATCGTGGAAGAAGTCAGAAATTTTCAGCGACTGAATTTGACGACGATGTTATTCTTGCGAATGCAGAATTTTTCAATTTTTTGAAACTATAGTTCGAGCATTAGTACGGCAGAAAATCTTTCTATTGTCAATGATGAAAGGAGTCGGATAAAATTCCAGATTATTGATGCCGAGTTCCTTTCGCAGATGGCATTCCAGAACTCAAGATACTGTAAATAATTTGCTGGTATGATACATTTAAAAAAAGTTACACCCACAGGCTCCATAAAGGAACTGTGACTGAAATCCTCTGGTAAAAAATATGATTAATTTTTCCAGCATTTGAAGGATGTGTGGGTGATTTGCACAAAGAAGAATAAAATTGTCGTCAATATTTTATATGATGAGATCCATTTGAAACATTTTTTTGTCCCGCTTCTTGCAGACATCCTAAAAATTTCGGAACGAAAGGATTGAAACCAGGTTCTGACCCGTTGATGGAAACATACAAAACAGTCGCTTCATTGGCTCGTTGGGATGCTGAAATGTGGTTTCGTTGCGGGATCTCAGGAGAAAACAACGCAACTTCTTGGTTGCATCGATCAATGGCACATTTGGTGTCGTTGGAAGTCGTTGGCAGTGTGAGTCGCGAAATTTGGGGAACGAAGGGAATTGGAAAGATTTTTTGCGAAATCAAAAATTGCTTTTGCAGTTTGATGAAACCCCCAATTCATTGTTTGTATCGGTAAAATTTCATGTTACTGTATCTGATGGAGCTGAGGTATTAGAAAATTTTTGGAACAGTAATTAAGTTTCGTTCGCTTCATTTTTGTGTTCAGCAGTCGACTGACTGTAATTTTTCGTAACTTTCCCATTGATATCCAAAAAGAGGTTCTCGATTGTTTTCTGCGGCAGATGCATTTACATTTTCTTCGGTATTTTTCTTTTTTTGATCTTTAATGATTTCAGCACGAACTTTCGCAAAACTGCCGATGCATCGTTGCTAGCTTTGCATCCATGTAAGTTTTCTAATTTTTATGTTATTCACACCAAAAGAGCCACCGAAATAATTAAAAAAAAATCGCACACACGCGCCATTTCGTGCTAAAATATTCTTGTGACTGGAAGTAAAAAAACCTAATCAGCCAGTCATTTATGCTATTCTGCGGGATGTGTTTCATGAAAAAATTGTTAAATTGCTGGAAAGGCTTTATCCGACCGTAATCATGATTTGTAGAAAAATTCGCTAGACTTCTGAAGGGAACCCCTCGTGCTTTTCGTCACTTTTATCGTGATTCAAATTTTTATGGACAATTTTCGGAACCAAAGATGGCTCCAAATGTTCATCGTGCGACATATTTCGACATTGCCATCCACGAAGTCGGGCTTCGAGAGGACAATCGAGTCCCGTGCGACATTTGCATTTGGCATCCCCATCACTCATGGAAATACGAATACGAAATCGGGAAAGGTGCTCCCAATACTTCCATATTGATGCCTCTAGATATTTTATTTAAAAAATATATTGCTGAAAATGCTTTCAGGAATTTCCCTGTTGAAGATGTTGATGAAAATTTTCAACGACGAAGTTTTCTGGCGCGCGATGAATCAGTACCTGACGTTGAACTGGCTCGATACCGTCAGCGGTACGCACGAGTTTTTGAAAGGTCTTCACGAAGTCGTCAGCAGTACTCCTTTAGTGGCTGATCGCATCCCTGAAAAAACTACAATTCACCTTTTGTTCCAAGAATACTTCAAACCCGGAGAACGTTTCGTTCCGACCGTAACTGTGACGAGAAACTACGACACCAACTTTTTGACCATGACGCAGGTAAGTTTTAATGTTTCCCTGACTCTTAGCGTTCATGCTCGAAAAAAGATGATAACATTTGCTTTTCTATTACATAGATGTCGGCTGAATCGTGTGTCGGTCCGTTACTGAGAGCCCCGTGAATCCTTGAATTTTTAAAATTTCTGCTAGGAATATAGGAAAATAATTTTTGGGGTGGAAAGCTTAGTAGCTTTTACCTTTTATTACGGATTTTGACTAGTAACTCGTAACGAAGCGTAATTGGAGGTCTCTCAAATATCGATCGGACATTTGAAGAACAATCATTCATTTTCAGCAACAGGAAACCAGATGTGTTTTCAGCAACTACATAAATTCATTATGCGCTATCATTATGCTAAAAATAGCACCAGAATCCAATAACCTGAAATATCTCATACCTGTCCAAGAATATGTGTAGTTTGCAGGAATTGCCGTGTATGCTAAATTTTCAGTGAGCTCTGGCGTACCTTAATCTCGAAAACACTCCGAAGTGAGAAAAATTACTCGCGATTCCCTGGAACTTCGCAACTGCTTTTTTCCGGATTTTCCGTACTATAGTAACTCATTAATAAATCTATTAAGCGCATATCTAAAACTGGAGATTCTGATTTTTTTCACCCTAAAATTTTTAAGCAAATTTTTATCCTACACTAAGGCACCCAATCCATTTCAAGTGGTTGAAAACTGCAACATCTCAAAAATAAGAGGCGCCAGAATTAAGATTTGGATCTACAATAATTCCATCCTGAATTCAATTCATTTTCAACTGCTTTGATTTCAAAAAGTTTAAATACAATTTTTTTATTATTGTAAGATTCAAGTATGGCACATACCTAAATTTCTCACATTTATTGAATTTTTTTCCCCGGCCTTTATGAAAAAGGCGTGATACTTTCACGGTAATCCTCTCAAGTTCATTCGGTTTTGTGAATGGATTACGCTTTATCTTGCTTTATACCAGTAAAAATTGACGCCTTGAAATTAAAAAAAAAACCTTTATTGTAGGCATATGAGCAATAATAAGAAAGTTATGCTTAAAAATTGCAGACTGCTGTAAGGGCCACTGGCGTCGTTCATTCAGCCAAGGCCTGTCCTGGCGACCCTCTCAAGGCGGTGGCTTCTACGGAAAAGAAAAC